GGAAAACCTGAAATAATTAGATCCATACACTTGGAATATTTTCCCTATTTCTCCAAAGGAAGAAAAAAGGTTAAAAAGTAATTTGTGCTTAGGCCAATCCATTCTCCATGATGCAGTTTTACAGATGATCGAAAGTACACGAGTGCATGTGGTCACTGGGGGAGATCAATGCCATGGCTGCTATTGGCTCCTTTGATAAAAAAATCCTTTAGAAGGTAGATAACGATCTTCAACATTTGTCTTTCATTTGATTCAAATACAACCTCTAATGGCATTTAAGAAGCTTACAGATAAAGCAGAACTCAGTCAAATCCATCTTGTTCCCCTCAGTCTTGCTTTTTAGGCCAAATACTTTTTAGTAGTTTTAATTCGGATTTTTCTCTTTTTCTCCTCGTACTCTGATATTGCAAAGGCTGTGAAAGAGCCAAGCCCTGGAAACTTTCCAGTGCACTGAAGATTTTGGTCCAGCTAGCACGGTGGAGATGTAAACCTTTCTAAAGCTCAGCCTCCTTGCTAGTGCTGTGCCCTGAGACCCAAAGCCGCAGCCTCTGGATGCGGTTTCCTTCGCCTTTTCTGCAGGGACTTCCAAGGGAAAAACAAAAGCAAATCAGCCTTTAGCTTCACGCGATGGATGTGTTTGCGTGCATCGCCAGTGCTGTCACGAATTCTGGATTACAAAAGACATGAAGGATTCACAAGTTAAATTTGGTCTTTTATGATATTAGGGTTAAAGTCTGTTTAATCCAATTAAGCAAGAGTATTATAAGGAAAATAATAGCAAAGCATTTGCCTGTTGACTTCTGGCATCACATAACATGGTCTTCTCCGAGCCTAGGAAAATTTTACTAAGGTTTTAATAAGATTACTGCCTAAACAAATCTGTAAGGGGTTTTGGTGGATGAGGGAGGGTGTTGTTGAAGGTTACCATTTTTGGTAGGTTGATTTTTTTTTTAGGCTTTCTGACTTTTGTCCTTTGCATTGTGTAATATAAATGGTGCTTTTTCTTTTAGTAATATAAATCACAGATTTAAGAAAAGTAGCAGTGCTGAAGTCTTGATTTTGATTAACTCAGACCTTGAGGGAGAGTTTAGATTCTGTAAAAATAAATAAATTAATAATAATAAAGGAAACTTAAAAAAAAAAAAGAAATAAAACACCATCTCCAGTAAAATTTATGTTTCTTCAGTAAATTGACCAATTTAAAAAAAAAAAAGGGAATTGTGGTGCACTTCTTTAAAAAAAACCCAAAGACCTGTATAAAACTGCTAATTAGTAGTCAAATATCAGATGATAGGATTTCTTGAATGTGGAACACAGGCTTTTAAGAGCAATACATTATGTCTAACAGCTAAAAAGAGGCTTCTGAGGAGCTGTTTGTGCAACTAGTTTTAAATTGAATTGATCGTACTACTCACAAGTTTCTTCTGAGGAATTGGTTTTCCCTCCTTATACTGTGTAGCAGGTTTGATTCAAAAGCAAATCCTGCTGCTTCTTATGCTGTTAATTTGTTTCAGTTTTCAATCCATAGAAGTCAAAGAACTAATGAGTAGAGTCTTCAGAAGTGGTTTATTCTCCCTTAGCAATGATAGATTTTATTTCTTTTTTCCCCCCCGTTCTCTTCATTGACAGGTTGAATAAGGAGGATTAACACTAGCTGGAGGCATTGGTTATATATATATATAAAAATATATATATATATAAAAAAAAAACTTTATATATACCTAAGGCATCCATGGAGAAGTCTCATAGGCCATGTTAACCATCTATCAATCGAGAGCTGTCAGGATTTTGTTCAGAACACCGCAATTTCCTTCAAACCCGCTATCAGTCAAAGTTTTGGTCACTTTAAACATGCAGCTACATGTTTGGTAGCTCTGAGGTTGGGTCTGTTTTCTGCTTTACAGAGTTTTCCTGGTTCAACTGGTGCCTGCCAGGATCGTGTCTGCTCAGCCTGCTCCTCATCCTGTGCTTCCGTGAGTCCTACGACAGACTCTATCTCGATGTCGTTGTCTCTGTGTGATAACGCCGGACTGGTGAGGGGTTGGAAGAGACTGGAAGTCAGCTTGGCAGTCTGCTCATCTTCCTGGATTTGCACTGCTGAACAGCGGAAAAACAAAGAAATTACAAGACTGAATCGTGGCTTTATTAGAGAGGGTGAGGCACAGGCTGTTCTTACGTTCAAGACCACCTTGATTTGTGATAAACATGGAACTTGAGTGGTAATAATGATGCCAGAATGCACAAAGAGAATATATCTGATGTACAGGTCCCAGTGTCAGAGCTGGGGCTCTCTATTTAAAAGGCTGTTGATGTAGCAGTGAGCTGTACAGTTGTGTGTGCGTGCGTGTGCATGCGTGTGTGCCGACCCAAGGTTGTACACACCGGGGTACCAGTAATCTTTGGAGTCTTCTATCAGAATAGAAATAGTGAATAATCTTAACAAAAGGGGGCAAAAAAAAGATAAAAGGGAAAAAAAAAATCTTTTTTTTTTTTAAAGACTTTAAGACTTTTAAATCGCTAGTCATTTATATAATGAATGTCCATTAAACAGTTAAGCTAAAACGTTTTGGTGCTTGTACACTACATTTACATTCTAATAAAGTGATTTCTGATATAAGACACTGGTACCAGGGTTTTTAGCCATACTAAATATCCTAAACAATCCTTGCAGTGTTGTTGGAGGTGTTTGTTGTCACCCTGGAGCACAGGTAAACGATAGCTTTAGCTGCCACTGAAACCCAGCTTGCACCCGCAGTCACCTCTGAAATACCACCATGGTTCTGTATCTCCTGAACACGGAGCATCTGTGGTATCTCAGAAGTTTCCTGGAGAGTCACTCTTGGTAAATGTCGCTGTTTTAAAGGCCACCACTGTGTCACTTTTTCATCCCCCGTCTCCAGTACTGCCTTTTTTACCATGAAGACCTGTCTGTGCCACTGAATAACGCGGGTGTGGATGTCCGAGTCCCACTAATTCTCTCCTGATACTCTAAGGTGTGCGTGGTTTTTAGGATTAGTTTATGATTGAGGGTGCCTAGACAATATTGTCTGCTAACCCAAGTCTTTAAAATCACTGTTTCCTAAAAAAAAAAAAAATCTTTCTAGTTGATGAGGTGCCCTGATGGTGAAATGACAATGAGTTTGACAATGAGAAATAACTCATGAGTTTTGGCATAATACGGGAAATATAATGCCAGCTCTTTTTATCAGTACTAATCTGTGGTCGTTCTGGCCCTTACTTGAACATAAATATTAAAGACACTTTGAATAGTTTTTTTAACTCAATTTTAAACCTGCTAATAATTTCTTAATTATATTCTTAGATTTCAGTTCAGCATTATTTACAGTATTTCCATGTGTGTGTTCTGTGTTTTGTGTTAGGGGTGTATGTTTGTGTGTGTGCGTGCTTATTTATATCTATGTATACACAAATAAAACTTATATATATATCTCTTTTATATATAAGTTATATAAGGGTATGTGTTTACATAGGTTTATTTTAAGTAATCATGTCTCTGGATGGTGGTATGCCACTGTTTGTAACTAAACCAGTCACTGCCGTGAATGGAAACGCATACATACGCTGTCTGCGACGTGAATTTTTTTCAGGGGGTGAATGATTTCCTACCGTAGCAATTTTACCGCAGGGAGTGCGTGCACATGTTGGAGGATGCTGGTGTGCAGGGTTCTGCGCCCGTAGGAGTCTGAATCAAACGCCCTTTGCTCCTGTGCGGGGCTCTCCTCTGCCAGCCTGGGGTGACACCGACACTGTCAACTCACTCGAATAAACACAGAACGGAGCGCTGCCTTTCAGACATGGACCCGTTCATTCTGTCTGCTCTCCTTTTGCAGAGAGAATATGCTACTAATACCTTCAACTCAGGAGTCTATCTGTGCGGTAAAATAAAACAAGCTGTTCCCTGCTTTTATGTTTTCAGAGCAATGGATATATTTACTGTAGTAACAGAAGATTGACTTAGCTCATTGCCTGTATCAGCTACTAAATGATCTTTTCTCTCTTGAAGCAGGCTCTTTGTAGAAATGGAGCTAACCTACACTGGAATAACTAAATCAATCTAACCAGCGCGTTCAGAACCGCTGGCATCATCCTCTTACCGTTTTTCAGACGAATGGTATTAACTGTCCAACTTCTTTTTACTATGTTTCAGTGCCTGGAATAGTTTCAGTATCCAGTAGCTGCTGCTACCTATTGTTTTCTGAAACCAAGGATCGCTTGCCAAGAGTCTGATTGGAGTTGCATTGTCATGGCAGAACTGCAAGCTCGGATGGCTCTTCGGAGCTCTGCTTCTGCAATTTACTGTAGCTATATTAAGATTAAAATTGCACAGCTTGGGTACTGACCCAAGTGACAGAGATTTCTAATCTTTTCACTGTCCTGACTATTTTAAGATGGAGAAGCACTTCAGGCAGTATTCAGACTGTAATCTATTCTGCTTCTGTTCCAGAAAGCATCGAACAATTCAAAATACTTGCCAGTGCTGCCAGATGCAGACTCTCCATACAGTCAGGGGAGAAGAGTGAACATCTTGCTTTAAACCCCGTTGATTGTTTTTCTGAGTCGGTGTGAATTGCTCACTGCTCTCCTGAACTTTGATGCTCTGGTAGAAGTTTCTTTGTCTGTCTTGGGCACTGTAGTGTGTGGTCTTAATTACAGCCCTTGATGCCTCTGCACCAAAATAGAGATGTTATCCAGAGCTGAGTGGCATGGCAGGGCTCTGCTGGAGACCTGTGCTGGGGTTGCAGGCACCGTTCTGCAGTCAGGGCTCAATCAGAGTTCCCAGCAAGTCTGATGGAAATCTGCCCGAGTGAAACCCAAAGGATGGCTCCCAAATTACTTGAAGTTGTGTAGGATGCTGCTGCATTCAACACACAATGTTCAGGCTTCAGGATTTTATTAGATTAGCAAGTCTGGCTCAGGACAGAGGTGGGGGTTGCAAATGTGCTTGCTGAGATCTCTGAAAAATATTTTATCCTCATCTGCGCCCAGCAGCAGCATCCTTCTCTGGAGGAGCAGTCCTTTTCATGCCAGTAACCCAACTGAACCTGTGGGAATATTTTTTGATATGGGTTATCACTAGGTCCACCTTTGGATTTACCGAGGGTGCGAGCTGTCAGGATAACCGCACTTCACTGGAAGTTAGAGTTTGAGACCACAGGGAGAGCCCTAAGCAACGCTGATGCAATTAGCGGTAGCGCACAACAGGCTCAAACCAGTTAATATTTCTCTTATTCATTAGTGAAAGTTCTCTCTATAACTTTTGAGTTAGTAACAACAGGGTTTTTAATCTAAATGAGGCATTACCTTGCACTGCCGCAGAGAAGCCGTCGTTGGCTGCTGCTGGGCTGTGACTTGCCAGCAGAGGAAGGTGCCCTGGGAAGTTACAATATTTGCTTCTCTGTGGCCCGTAAGTTCACAGCCTTAAAGAACATTTTTTTTTCCCCAGCATTGCAGAATCCCCTAACATACAAATAATTGTGCTAAGTTCTATATTGAAAACGCTAGGAAGGATGCTCTGTAGTGCCCGCTCTCTCTTAATAGTTCTTCATTTTAAGTACGGGCTGCTCCTCAGGTTTCTGCTTGGCTCGGTAACAACTCTCAGTTCAGCTTCCAGCACTGCTGGCTTTTCTTCTTGCAGGCTGTGGAGCTGTGCTAGCTTTCATGCTGCTAATGAGGAAGCTCAGGGTTAGTAGACGTAGGCTCTACTTACGGCACTGTTTACTGTCTCTCATCACTGCTGTTACCCATTAATTTCCTTTTGATTCCTTCGCCTTCCTGCACGGCTGCCCACTCTCCTGAGCCGGAGTCCGTGCGGGAGGTATGGAGAAGAGCTTCCCTGTTCCCAAGTCAATTTTAGAGGGATGGGTTGGCCGACCATCTACTTAATATGCATAAAAATAATGATTTTTAGAAAATCAGACAAGCTGGAAGAAAGTGCAGACCCAAAGGATTTTGCACATATGTGAGCAGATAGTCTGTTATGAGCAGATTATAGTTTGCCTGAAACTTGTAATTTTAGCTCCCACACCTAGAGAGGCCAAGCTGACAGGCACCATGCATGTTACATGTTCAGGTTCACCGCGTCACGGAGTCACTCCTAACCATCTGACAGAGCTGAAGTGAATGGGAGTGGGATGTCTTTAATCCTGGAGTGGGTTGGAAAACCCAAGGCTGCGTCAGTGTTTGCACTAGTAACTCGGGGGAGCACCAGGCTGATGGACTGAGTAAGGGGAGGGGGGGTTTCCAGAGGGCATTTCAACAGTGAAATATTGCGTTGAGTTCAGCAAACCCATATAAAACCTGAAGTTTTGTAATGACAGGGATGTTAATGCCTGGCTTGTTCTACAGTAAACTTAGCAAGTGACTGTGTAGCCTTGCACTGCAATATAAGCAAGCGGAATTGATTGATATGCATATGTTGGCTGTTACTGGAAAGGGAAGTGCTATTTAATTGTGAGGATTGACTGAAATGTGAATGGGAATTACACGGTTTGCACAGTGGATGTAACTGTCCTGTAATGCTGTGACAGCAGGGTTTTGATTTTTCATCTTCATTTCTTCTTCATCTTCAAGTTGGGTCACTTGAAAATATTAATAATTATCTATGACAAAGGCATTTTTATATTTCATTAGGTTGGGGGGGGGTTTCTTTTAGACTAAGCCTGGACCGTTGTAATAATTTGGCAAGACAACTGCCACACTGGTGTGAAAGCATACATTACTGTTTGGTATCGATTTGGTATTTGATGTTGGTGTCGCCATTCTCAGTGTTGTTAAAGCACCAGGCTAGGGGAGCGGGGATGTGGCGCGTGTGAGGCGGCAGCGGCGCTCGTGGATGCATAGTGGGCAAGGCTGGCCCTGCCAAAATGAACAAGAACTTCATCGTCATCTTCCATGGGTCCGGGATGTGCGTCCCAGCGTCGGGGCTGGGAGGAGAATGGGAGCACGTCTAGGGGGGAAGAGCCTCCTCGTGGTTGCTGCCTCCCTTCCGACAGAGGGACAGCCTCCAGGCTTACTGCCTTGTGTGTGGGAGATCACAAGTATCAACATGGGCTTCACTCATTTCCCTGCAGCCATTACTGCTGCGAGGTGGGTTGTAGGTGGCACAGGAATATCTGCCTTGCGTCCTCCAGGGGTGTCATTTCAGACGGCAGAGGAGGATTGCCATAGAGCAGGCAGCAGCCCCAGTAAAGTCAGAAGATGATGTCAATCTGCTTATAATTTTTGCAGTTTGTGTTTCAAGACAGATGAAACTAATAAATAGAGGAGGAAATGTAACTCTGTCCAAAGTTTTGACAAGCAAAAGCAAATATTTGCACAGATGTGCTGGCTCCTGCCTCTTACTTGGGATTGCAACATGTTTGGAGCAATTGGTGCCCACCCGGAGTGTGGACCGGCTCCCGCAGCCCCGCTGCCAAAGCTTCGTGCCCCGGCTGGGGGGGCAGCGATCGGCACAGAGGGGAAGGGAAGCGCTGCAGCCAGGATGCCCAGAAGGTGCGACATTGGTGGGCGCCTGGGTTATTTGCGCAGGAGGGATGTCTTCTGCAGCCCAATTTTAGCAGAGTCTCATTTTTTACTTCCTCAAGGATGAGGTTCTGACCTTCGTTTTATGTTTGTGACGTGATCTGTGCTGCAGGAACAGCTATGGCTGTGGCACACGGCGTAGAGGCACTGGTTTTCCAAGGTGTGGCAGAGAAGGCAGGTGGGACTTGGCCTCTGCAATAACAGCTTTTCCTTCCACGGTCTCTCTCCCCACTAGCTTCCCCCATGTGATTTCTCCACTTGTTAGATCTGGACCGACTCGTTGCACTTACTTTGTATCGCTGCATGAAGAAAATACCATGAGCAAATCTTTATGGGGAGCTTTTCCCTTTAGGCTCAGGCCACTTCTCCAGCCTTAGACCATCTGTTTGTAAAAGCCAAACAAGCCCCAAACCCCACGTTTTCCTTTGCAGAGGGGATGTGCAGGTTTGTGTGACACTGGGACGAGTAGAGAGAGGCTGGGCGCTGCCCTTGCTCTGTAACAGAGCTGCTCGGGGGCTTGGGGAAGGGGTGCTCGTGCGTGGGGTGCCTCGCTCTCCCCACCTGTAAAAGGGGGGGAGGGGGACACCCCATGTATCTCCCCAGGCAGGGACACGCTGCGGTCGGGTCTGTGAGGTGCTTTGGGATCCTGTGAGGGACAGGGGCTGGAGCAGGGCCTGGGAAATGCCCTGTTTAATGGGCTGCGTGTCCTCAGCCTTGAGACTTCCGTGGGGAACGCAGACCCTGGTTTTCTGTGCCTGGCCAGCGTAATGTATGGAGGCACAGACAGTATGTACTGCATAGACAGAAAACCCCTCTGGCAGCACAGGTTACATTAACAAACTGGTGGGAAATGGTTAGGTGTGTTAAGGGAAGGGGTGCTCAGAGAGCTGGTCTGCCTGGGGCGGTCGGGGGGGTGC